CCCTTAGAGCCTCCGGAAGGAACGCAGCCTGCTGGCATCCTGATTTTGACCCAGTGAGACCCATTTCAGACATTTGACCTCCAGAACTGTAAGAGCATAAGACTGTGCTGTTTTAAGCCACTGTCTGTGGAAATTTGTTATAGCTTTGATAGAAAACTAATCCAGCTTTCTTGTTGTAGCTCCTCAGTGGTAAAAGAGGCTGCTCACAGCACCAGGTCAGCTTGCTGACCATTGGCGTGTGCATGCCACGCGCCTGGCACAGTGACTGGCCCACACTAGGTCCTCAGCAAATGCGTGTTGTCTCATTTGATTATTGAATCCAACCCCTTCCTTCTACAGAATGGGAACATGGAGGCAGAGGGAGGAAGAACTTGTCTGAGTTTAAAAAGCAAAACAAAACAACACCATAGAACCAAGCCTAGAAGTCAGATGCTTTCTGGTATGTCTCGTTAGAAGACGCTCCCAATTAGAGTGTTTCACCCGTCCTGGGTTGGCTGTGATGTGGGGAGCATTTCCTGCTCAGACAGGGTCTGTACAGCATTGTAACTATGACTCACAGCCCTTCAGTGGGCTACGCAAGCAGTTTAGTGGATTGCAACTAGTGTTTTTTTTTTTAATTTTTTTTAATTTTTTTTATTTTTATTTTGTCAATATACAATGTAGTTAGTTATTGTGTCCCATCACCGAAACCTCCCTCCCTCCTCCCTCTCCCCCCTCCCACCCAGATGTGTCCCCTCCAGTTTCTTGTTGTAAGAGCTTCAAAAAAAAAAAAAAAAAAAAGTTGAGGTTGTTAAATCTTCCTCCCCCCCAACTAGTGTTTTTTAATGAGGTAAAACAGAGTAGAAAATATTAGAGTCTATCACACACATAAGAGAGTATTTTTTGGTTGCAGTGTTTGTTTCTATGAATTACTTTGGAACATTTGTTTCTATGAATATCACTATACAAGTAGTGCTTTGTCACATTTGTTTTTGTGTGCACGTCTGCTGGTGCCTGCCGTGTACTAGGTGGGGATGTGAAATGTGGGATGAATGTTGGGCACGTGTGTCCTGTGCAACTGGGGGATAAACAAGGTCTCAGTTGCTAGGTTCTGAATGGGCCGCATGCCCACCGCCAAGCCGGCCTTAATGAAGAGCTGCCTGCTGCTGAGCCTGGCTTGGCTTATGTCCTAAGGGACACATTTGGGCTGGAAAGAGGTTTAGAAAGTGGACAAGTTATTCCCTTTCCAAATTGATCAGGCACGTTCAACAATCTAGACTCACAGGATACTTATCGTTGCTAGTGGATTTTTTTTTTTAATTGTTGTATCCTCAAAACATGTATAACCTTAGCACACCCCTCCCTCTGCCCTGGACTTGTGTACAGAGACACAAGTACAGAGTGGTAAAAAGGAGAAAGGTCAGCTGAACAGCTGTGATTTTACTTTGCATAGTATTAAATAGCTTATTTGATTTATAGTCCCCCGCAGAATGTGCTGATTTAGGGATTTAGTTGGCCAAATCAAACAGACACAGGCCTGGTAATATTCCTTGAAATTGCTGTATAGCCCAAGATACCAATCTCCCATTTTCTGCAGATATAAAAACCAGGGGATTCTCACTCCCTTTGAGGATTTGTGTTGTGGGATGAGCCAGAGTGATTGCTTCAATGATAAGCCAGCCTGGGAAGGAGGTTATGGAACAGGGTGTATTTATTTATTTATTATTAAAAAAAATTTTTTTTCACTGTCCACGTTTGTGGAGTACAGTTTACTGTTTCAGTACATGTACGTGTTGTATAATGATCCAGTCAGAAGAGTTAGCATGTCTGTCACCTAAACATTTATCATTTCTTTGTGGTTATTGCATTCAGGATCCTATTTTCTGGCAATATTGAAATATACAAGACAATATTATTAGCTGCTGTCACCCTAGAGCACCAGAACTTCTTCCTAACAGTAAGGATGTATTTATATCCAAGTGCTGGCTCCTTCTGTTTTTGACACTGCTCGCCAGACTGCTTAGTCACTGTTTGCAGAGCGCCACACAAGTGCCAAGGGCTCTCGGGGCTTTGTCCCCTAACTGTGTACACAGGTGTTGGATTTGAGTGTGGTTGTTGATAGAAGCAACAGGCTTTTGTTGGGTACTGGGGAGGGGACTTGGAGTAAACTGTCTCCAGGTAGGATGACGCACATGGACAGGTTCATGGAGAAGAGTCGGTCAAATCAAAAGCAGGAAGGAGTTGAAGCAGGGGTTGTGGCAAGGAGTCGAGATCCCTTGGTGCTGTCAGCCAGTGACCCTTACCACAGGGTTCACATGTCTGAAGGACTGTTGCGGGCAACAGGGGACATACTTTTTCTTTTTAGTGACACAGTAATCCTATGCAGTTTATGAACACCAAAAGAAAGTTTCCAAAAACCTGAGTCTTGCAATGAGTGAATTTCTTCAAAAGCACATGCCTAAGCCCCAACCTCAGGCAATTCTGAGAGGAAAGAGCCTTGTAAGCCTTGCCAGCCCCCTGCCCCTAGCTGAGGCCCTCTGTATTATACAGTGGACAAGAGTTTGCTGCATTCTAGGGGTGGTTGATCAGATAACATTTCAGCTTCTCTCTAAAGTGAATATGCCCTGTGATTGTTGGCTTTGTGTTTGTGAAGTTTGTTTTTAAGAAACCATCACTTGCTGTTACTTTTAAATTTTTTATCGTAAAAATATGTAACATAAAACCATCTTAAGTGTACAGTTACTAGTGTTAAGTATATTCACGTGGGTGTGCAACCAATCTCCATAACTTTTCATCTTGCAAAACTGTAAGATTCCCATTCCCCCTCCCCCAGCCCTGGCAGCCACCATCCTACCCCCTATCTCTGTGAACTGGGCTTCTCTAGGACCCCACAAGTGGAACCCTACAGTATTTGCCTTTTTGTGATGGGCTTATTTCACTGAGCAGCACGTTATCAAGGCTCATCCATGTTGCAATCACTTGCTGTTATTTTATTTCTTATTTTTTGCATTTTCTACGATTTCCACAATGGACAATAAGTTATGTAAAACAGTGAGAGGCATAGTACAAGAGGGAGCCACAGGGGCCATAATAAATGTGGAGTTTGTACTCAGTGTAGTCGGGAGGTTTTTGAGTTTTGAGCAGAAAAGCGATGTGTTATGATGTGTGTTTACAAAGGACAAAGGTGTTTCCTCACCTGCTGTGTGGAGAATGGGTTGCGTGGGGAGTGGATCAGGGTGGAGCCGGCTCTTGTGCTTGTCCAGGTGAAAGATGGTGGCTGCCTAGGTGGAGGGGTGGCAGTGGGAATGTGGAGAAGTGGATGGATTTCAGGCATGTCATGGAGGTGACATTGACTGTTCTTGGTGATGGCGTGGCTGTGGCGCATGAAGAAGGTGTCTGGGATGATGCGCAGGTTTCTGGCTTGGAAAGCGTGTAGGTTGGAGGCACAAACTCAGGCATTTCATTTTGCACATGCTGAGTGCGAGGTGGCTGTGAGACATCGAGTAGTGATTGGAAGAGGAGACAGAGGAGGCAGCGAGTGTAGACAGCGATTTTCTGTTTGGTTATAAAGAGGAGGGAGGAAAGAACTCAGTACCAAGATGGGGATGTACAATCAGAGAGGGGGGGTTTCTAGCTTCAAATGGGAGAAATTTGAGCGTGTTTGAGAATAGATGGGATGATACTTCCCAAGCTGATTGACAGATGCCATGCAATCCACATCAAAATCCCAGCTGCCCTTTTTGCAGAAATTGACAAGCTGATCCTAAAGTTTATACGGAAAGTCAAGGGACCCATAATAGCCAAACAATCTTGAAAAACAGCAAAGTTGGTGGACTCACACTTCCCAATTTCAAAACTTACTGCAACACAACAGTAATCAAGACAGGATATTACTTGCACAAGGATAGCTCTGATGGATTACTAGCACGAGAGAGGACAGAAGCCAGGTCAGGACACGTTTCCTTGGAGGAGCTGTGGAAACCTCCCTTGGGTAGCAGGACACAGGACTGGAGTTCGGGAGAAAGGTCTGGGTTAGGGACATACAGGAGAAGACTTTCTTTGTCTTGGCCTGGCCTGGTGGCAAGGCTGAAATCTTGATGGGGCCTGGTGGGCATGGACTGGGATTCTTCTACCTCCGAGTCTGCTTATGAGTACGGACCGGCAGGGCCTTAGCTAGTGCTGGACGGTGTGGTGTGATTGCTTTGCTTTGCCTGCAAGGCTGTCTGGGTTAGATGAGGCTCTCTGTCCAGGCCGGCTCTCTGGTGGCCCAGGATGCAACCTAGGCTTCATCCAGACGCATCTGGGCTGCAAAATGTGCTGTCTTATGATGAGAGTCTCCAGTTTTTGTGTAACCACCTTGAAACAAAACGTGAAAAGTCAGCATTTTAATGGATTCTCTTCACCTCTAAAATGAGTGGGTTGTACGAGATGATCTCTGAGGTCCCGTTCCACTCCGCCTGGCTCCGATTTGGATATTTTCATATATGCAACATCAATCAGACACACTGCTCACCTCACTTAAGTAATGACACAGAAATCCACTGGTGTGTGTGTTTATGTTGGCTGCCGGGGAAGGAAATGCTATGTGCATTTATTATTAGTCAAGAGACTGGCTTAGAAGTGTTTTGGGATGGCCTTGTCTAAATCACTGACATTCTTATGACTCGGTTTCCCAGGCTTATGTCACATCAGTAGAATGTTAAAGCTCATCAGATAGTGAGTGAGTTTAGATCGGGATGTGTCTTTGTTCTCTCTGCATCTATTAAGCTTTTGAATATGTTAATATGACTCATAAGCTGTTTACTTATACATGTTTATTGAGGGCCTTCTACTTATCAGTGGATCTACTAGTGGATTCTGCTTAGTACCAAACATAATAATAGCTAACATTCGAGAGATTCCTATGTATCAGATATGTGCTAAACACTTTACATGTAATGACCATGTAATCCTCACATTAACCCACAGCAGCAGAGTCTATCTCCATTTTACAGATGTGAAAACTGAGGCACAGCGCTGTCATGTCCCTTGCCCAAGGTGTCTCTCCTGGTGAGTGGCAGAGCTGGGATCTGCATCTAGGCTGTTTGGCCCCAAAGCTGGTCACCAGTACTAATATCCTGATGTGTTGTCCTGAAACAGCCTTGGACCAGAGTTGGGAAGCCTCGGGCCCCAGTTCTCATGTGACACGAGTAGTGTCACCTTCGGCAAAGCACTTAGTGTCTTGCACTGTTTCATAGAACCTGTGGCCCTAAGAGTGGTGTGCCTCTTGTCATAGGGCTATGGCAAGACCTTAAGCCTCCTGACACATCGTGACAGCACCTTATTTGTCATTGGTGGTTTTATTTCTGTAATGTCATCCCCTTATTCTGTGGGGAGAGGAATAATTACATATAATCTCTTTATTTTACATATGGGGAACAGGTCACTCCTATGGGGTCAAGTTTTTGCTCCAGGACCCCCACTCAGTGAGTGGCAAACTGGGACAAGACCTCGCACCTTCTGGCTTTGGGACCATTTCTGTTTCTGCTGATAATTAACTGCTGTGGCCCTTGGGTTCCCACCTATAAAAAGGGCATCTGATTTCTGAGGTCCCAGAGTACTACCCACACAGAGCTGAACGCCAGGGACAGTATGTGGAGACAGCTACTCCATTTTTTAAAAATTGAAATATAATTCACAAAACATAAAATTCCCCATTTTTAAGTTTACAATTCAGTGTTTTAAAAAATATACTCACTGTGTTATGCAGCCATCACGACTAATTCTAGGACATTTCTATCACCCCGAAAAGAAAGCCCAGATCCATGATAGACATTTACCTTTCTGTGTAGAAAGGAAGAATGAAATTGTCCTTTCAATTTCAAACTCAGCAGCAAAGTGACTTATGCCATTTGTAAAAAAAACAAAACAAACAAACCATCCCCCACGTTTTAGCTGCTACATAGGACACTTCCTGGAAATATGTAAAAAGACTGCGAGCTGTGGTGTCTGCATTGAACCAATCCCTTGCTTACCAAGTTTCCCTTTCTGGAGAGGGTGGCTGGAACGAGGTGTGCCCTGTGAATTCCTGTAAGCCAGTGGCCTGGGTCCAGCTCCTCAGTGGCCACTGCACATGGATTGATGGTGGTGGCTGTTTTGGACCGAATGTGTCATTATAGTCCTCTCTGGGAGCCCTTTAAATTTATTCATGAAACTAGTTGGAGCTCAGGTGGCCATAGCTAAATCCATTTAGTAATCAGAGTAAGAGAAAAGCCGTTTTCGTGTTTCCTTGCAGTGCTGCAGTGCTTAGCTAATCCAGAGGATATTAATTACTCAGCATGCTTTGAGGTGTAAAAGCATAAATTTATCAAGACAAATGTGTTCAAATCTAGATTGAGGTAACAAGAGTTAAAATGGTGCAGAAATTCTGGGAAATTGGGGACTAACAGAACTAGCATTTTTGGTTTGCTTCTACCCTCTCTAGCACAAAGGATATCTACTTGTTTGTGCTGAGGGAGAGAAATTATTTTCACCGAAGAGACATTGGTAAAACTGACCGTACTTGCCGGTGATTTTGTCGCATAGGTTTCCCACAAGCAGTGTTCAGGAATGTTTCCGAGGTGGGCAGGGAGGTGTGAAGTTGTTTTTCTGATCTGCAGACTTTCCTTTTATTAGTCGCAGCCCCAGTGGCCCCCTGCCGGTGGGCAGGGGAAATGCAAGGCTTTACAGGCAGCTGCATCACGTGAGGTCTCTATCGTTTTATGGTGGGGCGTCTTCATTACATGGTTCATTTCAGGGTAAATCGAGCTACGCACCGTGCCCCTCCGTCAGTAGCTCAATCCATTGGGCTGATCTTAGTCTTATTCCTTGAACCCAAGCAATCAAGAGGCTTGTGTCACAGTCATATTTGCTGGGTCATGACTTGGTTCCTCAGGTCTGAATTTGATTCTGGTCCATCTTATAGTGAGTGGGTTTTCCTGGCATTTAATGGTCTCACCATTGACCAAATCGGTTTCCCTTTTGGAAAGTAGCTCCATTTCCTTGGCATTGTGTAGATGCAGGCACTAGCCTGGGTGACAGGCAGGTGAGTGGCATTGTGGCTTTCCTGGACAAACTTACATATAGTGTGGATACTTATGGAACCTCCATTAAGGTAGACAAATGGAAAATCCCAAGATGATGCACCTGCAGTTTATCAGACTAAGATGTCCCTGGTATTCTTATTCATCCACAGAAAAGGGTCAAGATTTTAAAATTTGCAAAAGCAGTTTAGGTGAGTATTTATATATATTCACATAGGAATTATACTGGGCCCTCTTCTAAAAAAAAAAAAAAAAAATTGAAAACTGCTTACATGAACAAAAGAAAAAGGTAGAATAAAAACCATCCGTAGAGAGCAGGGGGATAGATGTAACCAGCCACTTGAGAGGCGCCGATCTCCATGCTTGAGTCCTGACTTTGCCTCTGAAATCTTTGGCAACTAGGGGTCTCAGCTGCCTCTGCAGTTCTTAATCCAGCAGCAGGCAGCAGACTCATTCCTCTACAGAGATGAGTTTGCTCTTGGCATGAAACCCGTGGATTTTATCACAAAGTACTATGAGGTACTGTGTACTGGTAGTTCTGTGGGCACAGATTGGAGATACTCTCGCAGTGTGGAGGCAGTTTGGGTGGTCAAGATGAAGACACTTTTAGGGAATGCCTCCTTGCTGCCAGGTCTGTGTTTGGTGTTGGCATGGAGATGACCAAGTCCCAGTCCCTGCTTCAAGCAGCTCACTGTCTGTTGCAGCGCTTCTTATGGAACTTTCCTCAGTGATGGAAATGTTCTCTATGTAAGCTGTCCAACTCAATAGTCACCAGCTACATGTGGCTATTGAGTACTTGAAATGTGGTTAGTGCAACTTATGAACTGAATTCTAAAATATTGAATTTTAATTAATTTTAATTTAAACAGCTACACATGGCAAGTGGCTACCATGTTGGCCAGGGCAGGTCTAGGGAGAAGACGCACATAAACACTTTATTGGAATGGGCGTGCTCTCGGGATGAACTAAGTGGTGTGGCAGTAACAGAGGCGGGAGTGCTTAATTAATCAAATCCAAATGAAAGGCTACTTAAGGGACCCATCAGACGGTCTCTCTCAAGGATCAGACATTTCAATCAAGGCTTTGGCAGGTGCTGGATCACAGCCAGCTCATGACGGAATTCTCTAACAAGGGCCTGCTGTGCCTTGTTTTGCAGCCTTCGTTAAAATGCACCCTTAGCTTTAGATGCCAATCCTGGTGGGTCAGGTTGCAATATGAGGTCAAGCTTGTGTTCCCTCCCAAAGAGACAAAATCTGCTCCAGGATGGCCACTGGCCACTGGGGTGTCTCTGGGTAGAAGCAGTACTTTTCTCACTAAGTGGATCTTCTAAAGGACACGCAGTAGTCCATGGGTAACATTTCCAAAGTTTTACCCTATTGTAAAGGACATTTCAGACACGAATTACCAGCTCAGTACATGCTGCTTCTGTTAAAAGAAACTCTTTGTGGCCCTCTGCAGTGGAATGAGGTAACTCTTTCTGCTGATTACTTGAGCGATGGCCACTAGGTACAGGGATTGGGGGTTGTGAATTGAGCCTTTGGTGAATCAGTTGCTTTTTTTTTTTTTTTCCTTTTGGGTAGAAGCAGTACTTTTCTCACTAAGTGGATCTTCTAAAGGACACGCAGTAGTCCATGGGTAACATTTCCAAAGTTTTACCCTATTGTAAAGGACATTTCAGACACGAATTACCAGCTCAGTACATGCTGCTTCTGTTAAAAGAAACTCTTTGTGGCCCTCTGCAGTGGAATGAGGTAACTCTTTCTGCTGATTACTTGAGCGATGGCCACTAGGTACAGGGATTGGGGGTTGTGAATTGAGCCTTTGGTGAATCAGTTGCTTTTTTTTTTTTTTTTCCTTTTTGTCTTTTTTCATGTCCGGCAACAGATCGCAACCCTCAGTGTCGCGCCTGTACCGGACCGGGACCGGCAACGGGATTGCAACCCTTGGTGTTGCGCCTGCACCTCGCTCAGCCAGTGAGCGGGAACCAGTCTGTATGTGGGATCCGAACCCTCGGCGGGAGCGCCACCGTGCTCCCAAGCGGCGCACTGTAGCAGTGCGCCACGGGGCCGGCCCGAATCAGTTGCTTTTTAATGTGTGTTGGTACCAGAGGGTGAGCCTGTGCCGTTAACGCAGAGAATTCCTGTCCGCCTGCATCCAAACTGAGTTGTTTAGTTATAGATTGCATGAGGGGGTATAGCACATGGCCCTGTTTTACATCACTTGAGGTATGGTATCTCTCACGAGAATGTTCCTGTCATGATTTTAGCAGCCATGGAAGGTTTCACAGTTTGCAGGCTTTGAAGACTTGGTAGCTCAGGATCTAGATTGAGATTGAATGGTTTTATCCATAGGTGGTTTGGGTCTATTGAATCCAAGGTCGACGAGGGATTAATAAATACTACAAAGTTGTGTACGTTACTCTTAACTCTTTGCCTATTGATACGTAGCAAGATATATCAGCAAACAGTGGGGGAATGACTGAGGCTAAAACGTCTTATTACTTCTTCCAGATGTTATTGGGAGAAACCTACTCTCACAATTGTTGGGCGAGAAAGCAGAGATTAGGTTTTGAAGGGAAGTCCCAGTGGGATGATAGGTTTATGGTTTGGGAGGAATTGATACGGAACAACTACTGCTTATTATTAGAGAAATGCATGTACATGATTACAAACAAAAAATGGCAGAGAAGGGTTTAAATTAATGGTAAAATGCTCCTTTTCCCTTCCCCCGACCCCTGTTCCCATTCCCTGACATGACCAGTTTCCCTGCGTAAACTTCCAGAATATTGTTATGGAAATACATATAGATATACACACACAGAGAGATGGGAAAATACTTCTCTGTGCCTTGCTCTATTTAATACTGTGTTTTGGAGATTGCTCCCACGTCAGTGCATATGGGCTTGTCCCATTCTTTTTCACACCTACACAGTACTTCCCTGTGTCGGAGAACGATCTTCCATTTAACCGTTCCTCTTTGCTGCACGTG